TAAAACAAAGAAAGTAGGGGGTGGGGGTCAAAACTAAATGACCAGCTCTTGTCCTAGACAGGGATCATGATTTCCACTTGTGCGCCCGTGAGAGAGCGAGAGCGAGAGAGAGAGAGAGAGAGAGAGAGAGAGAGAGAGTGTGTGTGTGTGTGTGTGTGTGTGTGTGTAAGAATTTAGCTGAATTTCCCAAGGACGCTGGTCCCTTTTCCAGATCTGAAAGGGAGGGATGGGGCTGCAGCCCCCCCCAACAGACACATCTACAGGGTTCCTCTTCCTCCTTGCCCAGCACTTTGTTGCCTATAACAAGGACTTGAGGGATCCAAAGCTGTTAATTTTTCCCTCTCTTTTGCTTCATTAGTTCTGAAACTAAGGCTCTGTGGCAGTTTTTCCCTGTATAAAGAATTAATGAAAGCCTGCCTGGGTCTTTTTCAACATGCTTTAGGATGTAAATTTGTTTAGCTTTTTATAAAACCATCAGCGGATGCTTTTGGCACCAAAATATTCCAATGGTGAAGAAATGTGGGCATGATAGTATGCATGTGCACGTGCGTGCGTGCGTGCGTGCGTGTGTGTGTGTGTGTGTGTGTGTGTGGGCCAGAGGTCAATATCTGGTATCATCTTCTATGGCTCTCGACCTTGTTGATTTGTTTGTTTTTGAGACAGAGTTTCTCTGTGTAGTCCTGGCTGGCCTGGAACTCACTCTGTAGACCAGGCTGTCCTCGAACTCAGAGATCTGCCCGTCTCTGCCTCCAGAGTGCTGGGACTGAAGGTGTTTTTGCCACCTTACCCAGCTCCACCTTATTTTTTGACACAGTTTCTCACTAACCCTGGAGCTTGCTGTTTCAGTTAGACTGTCTGGCCAGCAAGCCCCTGAGATCCTTTAGTTCTCTAGAGCTGGGGTTTTAGGACACACCACCATGCCTGACTTTTAATGTGTATCTTGGGGAATACAAACATGGGCACCCATGTTTGTGCAGAAACAGTACCCACTGAGTTGTCTCCCCAGCCTCTGCATTTTTGATTCTAAGGAACAATGCCTTTTTCCAGGACCTGTTGTCCATCCTGTAATTCATGGTAGGGTGTGTGGGCTCACCCCATCAGTCCATCCTCTGACCACAGAGACACCAAATCCTCAGGATTACTGGAGAAGGGTCTCTGGCAAGAGGAGGACTTCTGTTGCCTCTCTCCACTCTGAAGTGGACTTGAAGCCATTTGCTTATTTGCTTTCACTCTTACAAAAGTTCACTTGATTGCTTCATCTGAGTTTCCAATCTAAAGGTGTAGGTAGTGTGTGTATGTGTGTCTGTGCATGTGCCTTTGTGTGTGTATGTGTGAATTTGCATGTGTGTGCGTATGTATGTGTGTATTATGTGTGTTTGTTTGTATGTGCATGTGTATATGTGTATGTATATGTGCACGTGTGTGTATGTGTATATGTGCATGTGTATATATGTGTGTGTATGTATGTATTTGTATAGGCATGTATATTTGTGTGTGTGTGTGCACGCATGCGCCAGCACGCACGTGTACTAACTCTAGACTCTCTGGACTTGAAAGATTCTAATGACTGTTAAACGCAAAGATTGTTGAGGGACATAAGAAAACAAATAGGAAGAGAAGTCATTGACTTTTGCCATAGAACATCAACTGCTCATGAATTAATCTACACATTGAGTGTTGTTCCAAAATATCCAGCGCTTCTATCTCAAAACAACAAAAAGGTTTTGATGCTTACCTGAAAGAATGCAGTTTTGAAAAAGAAGAGAAAATGTGTTCTGTGAAATATAAAGCAATAAATTATAAAACTGTGATAACTTCAAAGGTTAAAGAAAATATCTTAGTAATCTACAGGCAGGAAGAGGTGACGGGCAAGTTCATGCCAGCCATTACAGCTTGAGAAGAAATGTATCAGACAGGGAGGGGCTGTACCAAGGTTGGAACAGCTGGGAGCTCCAAGCGGCAAGTTAGATCTTAGCTTCACGTGTTCACAAAAGAAAACATGGTTCTATTAAATATTAAGTAAACACACAAGAGAACACAGTTTAAATACAAGTGAATATTTACCTCCTTTTGTGGTAGAAAAGGCCTTTGTATGCACCCACAAACACCAGAGTCCAAAGAAGGAGTGCAGGCACAGGCCTACCAAAAAAAATGTTAAAAATAACACTGCACACACTTGACAGCCACAGGCAAACCCTGGAAATTGTGGTGACAGTCTCTGCCTCAAGTAGCTGTGGCAGTGTTTACCAAAATGGGTTCACTTCTTAATATGCAAATTAAAGTAATCCAGGGGTGTATTATATTTTGCTGGACAGGTTTTCCCCAGGGTTGTGTCCAGCACTGGTAACCATGCAGGGAATGGAAGCAGGTGTTCTGCCATCAGACTTATCAGCTGTGGTGAGATGGGGCCGAGGAGGTGGCCCAGCAGTTAAGGGCGCTACAGCTCTTCTGAAGACCTGAGTGTGGTTCTCAGCACCCACATCAGATGGTTCACCATTGCCTGTAACTTCAGCCCCAGGGACTGACCCCTCTTTCTGGCATCCACACAGACACAGCACACACTTAAGACACTCAGACACATACACACAGTAATAGTCTTTAAAACAAAAATTTTAAAAGATAAATGTACAACATTCTAGGTTGCTTTTATTTTTTTTAAGAAAAATCTTTATTATGGTGTGTGTGCCATGGTGTGCACACAGAGGTTGGAGGAGAGCTTTGTGGCATCTTCACATGTGTTCCTGGGATCGAGCTCAGGTCACCAGGCTCAGTGGCAAGTGCCTTTCCTGCACTTCACCCTCTCACCGGCCCCAGCATTTCAAGGATAACTGTGAAGCCCTGGGATGGGCAGAGATACTGCACTTAATGCACTAGTGAATGTTGGCCAACTGGACTCAGGCAGCCATGGACATTTCCAGCAGAGGGTTCTAGAACACAGAGGATCTGCACAAAACGCTTGTGCACATGTTAAAGAACGAGTTAGCCTGGACTGTGTTCAGTGTGTGGTAAGAAAAGATTTGATCTGGGTGACATCTTTTGTCTCATGTGTGCATGATGGCTATTCTTGGTTGTCAACGTGACTACATCTGGAATTAACTAAAACCCAAGTGAATGGGTATACCTGTATACTATGTAGCCCTGGCTGGCTGGCCTCAAACTCACAGAGATACCTCTGGAGTGCTGGAATCAAAGGTGTGAGCCACCGTGCCTGGCCTGGCACAACCCGCTTTTAATCCAGATCATTTGTGGTGGAAAAATTAATCTTCCATCTGGGTCACACCTTATGCCTGGCCTGGGAAAACCCGCTTTTAATCCAGATCATTTGTGGTGGAAAAATTAATCTTCCATCTGGGTCACACCTTCTGCTGGCAGCCTGTGCAAAGGACATGGAAGAAGGAAGCTCGCTCTCTTTCCCTGCTTGCTTTTCCCGGTAAGTCCGTTCCTTCACTGACATTAGAGCCTACTACTTTGGGATTCTGGTGTATACTGAAAGACCAGCTGAGACATCCAGCCTTGTGGACTGAGAAACTACTGGATTCTTGGACTTTTTATTCATAGCCATTGTTGGACTAGGTGGACCACATCTAAGCCACATAACAAATCCCATTACATATATAAATATGTGTGTGTGTGTGTGTGTGTGTGTGTTCATGTGTGCAGATGGACATGTATATGCACAAGTGTGCTTTCACATTTCCTGCAAAGGCAAGGAGGACTTTAGGTGCTCTTCCTCGGGAACAGCCGTCTACCTTGCTTTATGAGACAAGGTCTCTCACTGTCTAGGCTATTTGGCCAGCTGGTCCTAGGGATGTGCCTGCTTCCACCTCTCCAGGGCTAGGATCACAAGTGTGTGCTGCCATGCTTGGCTTTGATCCCGGGGACCTCTGGTCTTAGCAATCCTGTATCTCAGAAAGAATTCAACACCTGGAAGAGCTGTGCACCCAAAGATGTTCACCGTCGTGTTTATGATGATGTGTTAGTCAGGACCTACAGATTAAATTTCTCTCTCTATATATAAGGGAATTTAATAGAATGGCTTAGAAGCTGTGGTCCAGTTAATCCAACAAAGGCTGCCTATGAATTGAAGGTCCAAAAATCCAGTAGTTGTTCAGTCTATGAGGCTGGATGTCTCAGCTGGTCTTTAGCAGACACTGGAATCCTGAAGAAGGCAGCTCTGATGCCAGTGAAAGAATGGACTTGCTAACAAGGTCAAGGGCAAGCAGGCAGGGGGTGGGGGGCTTCCTTCTTCTGTCTTTATATAGGCTTCCAGCAGAAGGTGTGACCAGATTAAAGGTATATCAAGATTTGGATTAGAAGTGGATCTTCCTACTTCAATTTAAGCAAAAACCCCTCCCAGGTGTGCCCTCCATTTCTGGATTTTAGTTAATTCCAAATATAATCAGGTTGACAGTCCAGAACAGTCATCACAGATGGTGAAAACTGACCACAGACTCATGAAGCCATGGGTGGATCCGGCACCATGGCCCAATCACTTAGGGGATGCAGTATAAACCTTCAAAGTCAGAGGTGGTGAAGGATGCTGGTATGGAAGGATGCCGATGGGAACTGTGGTAGCTGTGGGAAACCGGAAGTAAGCTGCCTGCTACAGTCATGTTCATAAGCACTGGCTCCACATGAGAAGCTGCAGTGAGCACTGCAGATGTCAGGCATGCTTCTTTTGTTTAAAAGATTCTGGCTCTCATAAAATATAATCATACCTCATAAAATATAATCTAAAGTAGGAAGGGGCTGCTTAGTGGGTAAAGGTGTGTATTGTAGTCAACACTAATGACCTGAGTTCAATCCCCAGGACCCACATGGTAAAAGGAGAAAACTAACTCTTGAAAATTGCCTTCTGACCTCCACATGTGTGCTATGGAAAGTACACACCTACCCACGCATATACACAACACCTACCCACCCACTCACACATGTATGCACGAAATAGATAAATACATGTAAAAAATGAGTAATGAACCCCATCCATACTCTGTATTTAGGGCTGGATCCTGGATGGCATCCCTGAGAGGCGGGAGCAGGCACTGATGATCCAGACTGTGGGGCTGGCGCCCAAGCATGTCAGTGAGTAGAGCCCTGGCCCCAGCTGCCCAGAGCATGCAATGTGAACCCCGCTCCTAACACTGGCTTCCCTCCCACCCTCTACCATGGGCCCAGTCACTGCCCACGGGAGGGTTTCACGGGCCTGGGATCCAGCAAGAAAAAGACACATTATGTGAAATCTAGCTCCAACCACAAAGCTAAATGTGTTGAGGACTTGTCACTTAGGAAAGCAGGGAATTCCATGCTGTAAACCTCTCTAGGAAACCAACAGAAGGGTGGCAGGGTCAAATCACAAAGATGTCTGCATGGTGATTTTCCACAGTGAAAATTGATGGCAAGGGACATGTTCCACCAGGACTGCCTTTGGAAGGGTTTAATGTCATCTAGGTGGTGGGTGACAGCAGAGGTCCCGAGGTTCAGATGTGTGGCACCAGAGCCCTGCACACCTGATTTGTTCCTTCTTCTCTGCCCAGTTGTGCTTAATGCTCCAGACACAGTCCTGATTGAGAGAAATGTGGGGAAGCGGATTGACCCTGTCACTGGAGGTATGATGCCCCCAAGCTCCACCCCAAGGGATTCAAGAACAGTGAGGGGATGCCCCATCCCCCTCTCTACTCTAGGCACCCCAGGGGGCCACACAGAAATCCCAACAGGTGAGGGAAGAGGGGCATCCTGGGTGACAACAGTCAGAGTCTTGTTTTCCCGGGGAACCCAGCTCTCCCAGTTGACTGTGTTCAGGAATCAGAGTGCAGAAGAGCTCCCCTCAAGACGCAGGGCCATGTACCAGGGACATGGTGTCCGGAGCTGGTGTCCCATCTCCTGGGAAACTATGTACCCCATACTGCTTGCTCCAAGTGAGGAGGAGTAAGGCCCATGAGTTTCCTGAGAAAATTGGCCAGTGCCACAAACAGGATCTTAAGTTGCCACATTGTTGGGTCTGGGAACAAGGGGAAGGTACCTACCTACCTCTTTCAGGTTTGGTTTTCTCTGGATTTGGGGTAAAAGCTCAAATTGCCCTGAGGATGAATTGAGTCTTTATGCCCTTCTCAGGGTGTAGTGCAGAGTCAGTGCTCGGGGATCTGTGGCTGCCCTTAGTCCTGGGCTGTTTCCTTGAGATGAGCTGTCATATAGTCTAGGTCGGCCCTGTGCTTGCTATGTCTGATCTTCCTGGCCCCATTATACAAGGTCTAAGAATAGAGAGCCACTCGAGGATCCCCAGCTTTGGAATGTCCTGGAGGAAGGATGGCATACTTGTCATAGGTTTGAAAGAATGTCATGACACCACTAAGTGTGTAAATGTCAGAAACCACCACCCTTGGTTTATGAGGTGCTGGGAATTGAACCTAGAGCTTTGTGCATTTGAGGCAAGCACTCTACCCCCAAGTAAGCTACATCTATCCCCAACTCCATCATTGTCTTTTTGTTATTTGTGTATTGTTGTGGCATGTAAGAGTACTTGCTGCCTGGGAATGGTCAGCCACACCCCTGGGCAATGAGACAGCAGGGCCTGCAGCAGCCCTGGGTGGGGGCTCTGACAATGTGCCTCTCCCCGTGCAGAGATTTACCACACCACCTTTGACTGGCCCCCTGAGCCTGACATACAGAACCGGCTGGTAGAGCCAGAGGGCATCTCAGAGATAGAGACAGCGAAGAAGCTGCTAGAATACCACAGAAACATCATCAGAATTCTTCCTTCTTACCCGAACATCCTGAAAAACATCAGTGCAGACCAACCATGTGTGGACGTCTTCTACCAGGGTAAGTATGGCAGGCTGCCCCGCATCAAACCACACAAGGGCTGGGGTCACTCTGATTACTTGACTGCCCTGCTCATCCCACTATCCCTCAGACTGGACTGTGTGGGGACCCTGATGGGGCCATGCAGGGACCCCCCGGGTGTGACTATCCCCAGCCTCAGAGGGTTTGACAGTGTGTGGGGAAAAGAACCAGAGGCTCTATCAGCCGGTTCTGTATGTCAGGCAGGGAAAAGGCAGTATTTGTTCTGGGAGTCTGGCTCTACCAGCCGGTTCTGTATGTCAGGCAGGGAAAAGGCAGTATTTGTTCTGGGAGCATGAGGGTCTAGATTTCATCTCCACCCCCCCCCCCATGTAAAAGGCCAGGTGTGACAGTACATGCTTGTAATCCCAGCGCAGGGAGGTACGGACAACAGATCCCAGCTCACATACTTGGTGGGCTCCAGGCCAATGAGACTTCATCTGAAAAACAAGTCGGATGGCTCCTGAGATTGACCTCTAGCTTCTTCACACATGTGCACACATGTCCATTCGCACTGTGTGCAAGCAAACACACACGTGTACACACATGCACACATCAAAAGGAAAAGTGTCATTTTGATTGGGTGTGGGTTTCAGACACTTCTATGTCAACCTTCTGCAGCCTTCTCTGGCTGGGGCCTCTCTGCACACTCTGAGGAACACCAGGCCCTCTGCAGGCTACCATCACCCTCAGGCAGGCATCTGGAAGGTAGAGCTGCTTGCCATGTCAGGTTGAGACTGCCTTGAACTTTCCAGAGCTCTGCATCTTGAAAAGATCTTTAGCAGCAAACACATGTTCTTAAGACACACACAAATACCACATTTATCTTGTGCCACGGTTCCAAGTTTACACATTAATTACTTCTAAATTACTTAATTAAATTTAAAAGTTCATATGATCATTCATAAAGAATTCATGCCTGGAATTGTAAGTAAAAACGTGAGCATCTAAATATTAATTATTATTAATTAATAATGTGGAGCGATAAATTGAAAATTGGGCTGCAAGATTTCCCTCTGTGTTGTTTTTATTTTTAATCTCAGTGCATCCAGCAGCCGTCTATTTCCAAAAAGAATAACTGGATGTGGAGACTGTCTGGGGGATCGTTACTTCTAATTAACTTAGTTATTTACTATAAATTAAGCATCATTTGTAAGCAGGCTGCTTTGCTGCAGCGTCTGAGCTTTTCTGAGGTTCTGGGTTACAGAAGGCTTGAGAGTTGAGAGCCATGGGAGGGTCTCTTGTGTTGGGCTATTCTAGAGGAGGAATGGTATCCCAGCTGTAGCTTTGCCAGAGAGTTACCATGACTCTACCAAGACTCTGTATACGGCACTGGAAATCTGTAAAACAGGACAACAATGATGGCTCTCTCATGGAATGGCAGGCCAAACAAATGAATATTTATCTTAGCATTACACACATTTTGCCACGGTGTGATGTGTCCACAATGGTGGTGACCACAGCCTTGGCAGGGATCACCTCTGGCTTACTTGTGCTACTAGTTCTGAAAAGAGGGAACTGTAAACCCGAATGACCCAGCAACAAAATCCTGTGATGATGCCAGAGTTCAGGGCAGGGGAGACAGCTCAGCCAGTAGAGTGCTCATGCAGGCATGAGGACCCGAGTTTGGATTCCCAGCACCCATGTTTAAAAGATGGCCACTGAGATGATTCACTTATACCAAGGCTGACAATACAAGTTTGATCCCCAGGACTCACACGATGGAAGGAGAGAATTGGCTCCCTAACATTGTCCTTTGACCTCCTCACACGCCTCACTGTGGCATGTGCATGTATACAGACAAATAAATTCAATTTAAAAAGAAAACACTAAAGGCTAGCCTAATGGCACAGGCCTATAATCCTAGTTATGGGGTAAACTCCAGGTTCAGTGAGAGACCCTGCCTCAAATAATATAAGGTAGACAGTGACTAAGGGAGACAACCAACATTGACCTCAAGGCTGAATATACAAGAGCTTATATGTACACATGCAACCCCCACACACATAAACATACACATGCATACCCATAGATAGACCATACATTCAATACCCCCAAAAGATTTTAAAGTCTGTATACTGAACAAATAAATACTGCTGGTTCTCAGTTGGGCTACTTTTTGCTTCACCATACTATCCACCCTCCAGGGGGAGGTTTAGACTATGTCCAAACACATTGATTGGTTGTACTATTAGCACCTAGTGGGTAGAGGCCAGGATGACCTTCAAATGCTCCTCGAGCCAAGACTGGAAAATCCTATAATAGACACATCTACAAATCCCCCATAAGGTGTCTTCCTGAAAGAGCCATGTTGGCCCAGCTCTTCCTTAGGATGGGATCTGTTTGACAAAGGAAGATTGCCAGGTGCCACTCACAGCTGGCCTTGCACAGGATGGCCTGGGGGCCTTGGCAGGAGGTGAGACCTTGCAGAGAAGACGTTGTCTTGAAGGCATGAGGGAATGGCCCAAATCTGCAGCCTCTTTGGTGGCCAGCTGTCCTATGCAGGTCCCAGCAGGCAGCTCTCTGGCAGCAACCCCCTTCCCTGCTTGTTCTCACAGCTCCCCTCTTCTGGGTGGGCACAGGAAGGGACCTGCTTGATGTGAAGTACCTCCCCCCTGAACTTTCTGGTATCTTGTGCCTTCCCACGGTGAAGACTCTTCATTGTTCAAGATGTTCACCCCTATCTTCCCACCTCTCTCTCCATCAAATGCCAGAGGAGAAGCACGGGTCAGGAGACCATGGTGGAGTCAGCGCTCCTGTGACCTATTTCATTACTGCCTTTTTGTAGTCTTGCAACAAAGTTAGTGTCCCTGGAGTGAGGCTGTACAAATTATTCTCCACCGATTCCCGAGTCCTTTAGAAGTCCCTGCACACCAGGCCCCTTCTCAGCCTGACCTCTTATCAAAGCCTATGTGTGACACACGGCGCATACCTCCCCTAGGACACCAGCCTGGTCCTGGGGCTTCAGGTTAGAGGCTGGGACAGATGAAGACTGGAAACCACCTAACTGAACAGTCAATGAGAGATGCTTTCATGTCTCGGGCCAGCCTCCCATCCAACACACCCAGCCCCAGTTTGAATTGGAGGCAAACACAGCTGCCTGCAGCATGCTATGGAGCAATTCCAAGACAGTGCTTAGAAACAGCATCACTCCCTGTGCACCTCGGTGCCTGGGCCCAGCTGTACAGCTCCTCCTCTTGATGATTCCTTGATGGTCTGAATGTCGGGTTGTGGAAGGGTCCCACTGTGCTGCAAGCAGGCAGAGCCCATGCAGGGGTGTGAGCAGGCTCCTTTTCCCATAGGACCTAGGTTTGATATTCTCATATGTTCTTATTCCAGCTCTGACCTACGTCCAAACTGGACGCCGATGCAATGCCCCGTTCACCCCCAAGGTGCTGCTATGTGGGCCATTGGGCAGTGGGAAGAGCTTGCAGGCAGCCCTTCTGGCCCAGAGATACGGCCTTGTTGACAGTGAGTATCTCATCAGAAGTGTGGCTTCCCATTATCTCTTACCTGCCCAGGCTTTGTGTGTCACTGGCTGGTGGGGAAGAAACAGTAACCATTCTCTTTCCTGCTCCTGCTTCTTAACCCTTCCCACTTAGCTCACCCCTGTAGGGATAAAAAGTTTCCCTTTAAAGGGCATTGCCATAAAGACACTAACCAATGAAACATGTCCACAGCCCAAAGGGCTGGAACATTTTCTGGCCAGCCATCTTCACTTCCTATGGGGTACTCTCCCTGCTGTCCTCCTGGGTGCTTCCAAGCAGCCCCTCACTGGGCCCTGCTGTTTTCTTCATGGCTTGGCTCAACTCCCCCAACCCAGGTCAATGTGACCACAGTCAACACTTTCTGCACCAGAGCAAGATGCCTTTTTCTGCACAGCTTCAATAAATATTTTACCAGGCAGAGAGAAAAACATTGAAATCAGCTCTCCGGGTCTTTGCCGATGTGGTCCCAGGTGGCCTTGGTTGCTGGCCTGCGTTAGTGGGATCAAGGCTGGGGAAGGAGGGAGAAGCTGCTGCAGGCCCACAGTGTGATACTGGGGGCATTTAAAGGTGTTGCTCCCCACCCCCACACGCCACAGCCCGCCTAACCTCTCAGAAAATGACTTTCCCCAAATGCATAAATATGCACACACACTCCCTAAATAGTACACGTGCAAAAATATCTAGAGATAGAATACAACCAAGGCCACATTGTGAATAAATGTGCTCCTTTTAAGACTTGTTTTTTTAAAGCATGGGGGATGAGGTGGGGAGATAACTGTGCCATTACCCACACATCTCCAGGCTTCTGTTCTTGGGAAAATGCTGGTTTCCGCCTCCCCTTGTTTCCTCTCAGCCTGAAGAATTTCCTTTAACATTTCTTTCCCTTAACATCTGCCAGTGACAAATTCTCTCTCCTTTCATATGTCTGAAAATATAATTTTCTTGCCTTCATTTCTGAAGAACACTCGTTACATATAGAAATCTATGTCGACAGACCTGCTTGTGTTTCTTTCTCTCTCTCAGTACTTTGAAGGTGTCGTTCCACTGTCTTCTGGCCTTCGTGTTCTGAGGAGAACTCAGATTATTTTTGTGTCCTGTCACCTTGCCTATAGAAATGCTTCCTCTCCCCCTCTGGCTGCTTTTTATATTTTCTCTTTCTTGTTGGCTTTTAGCAATCCGAGTATAGTTACATAGAGGAATGGCTTGCTTTATGGGTTTGGGTAGGTATTTTTTTGTTTTTAGACAGGGTTTCTCTGTGTAGCCCTAGCTGTCCTGGATCTTGCTCTGTAGACCAGGCTGGTCTTGAACTCACAAAGATCTGCCTGCCTCTGCCTCCCAAGTGCTGGGATTAAAGGTGTGTGCCACCACTGCCAGGCTGGCTTGCTCTGTTTTTTCTTCCTGGACACACATGGATTCTTGGATGTTGTATCTGTCACCAAAATCTGAAATTCTGTCACCTCTGGTTGCTTTCTGGGTGTTCTTTGTCTCTCCACTCCTCTCCCTATTTGCTGAGACTCTGATGACATGTGTCAGCCTGCCCATCGAAGTCCTGTTCTGTCTGCTGCCCTGTTCTGTGCTGTTTTAGATTCTTCCATTCCTCTGTTCTTGCTTTTAGCTATGTTTCTCATCTACCGGATTGTATTGTCCAGTTTCAGGATTCTCATCTGGTCCTGTTTTCTAGTTTCCACTCCTCAGCTGGTCCACCCACTGGGCACAGCTATGTTTCTCATCTACCGGATTGTATTGTCCAGTTCCAGGATTCTCATCTGGTCCTGTTTTCTAGTTTCCACTCCTCAGCTGGTCCCCATCTGTTTACTCATTTTAGCTATCTTTTCCTTTGAGGTTAAAAATGCTCTCTTCTGTGCCACTCCTCTGCAGCCTAGCCATGCTAATTCTGATGGTCTATTGTCTACTGATCTGATTCTATGGTCCATTTCTTTTCTTGCAAATGTTTGCATTTTTTTTCTAATTTTTCCAGTAATTTTCATTTTCATACTTGAACACTTTGGAGCTTGTGTCGAGAGTGGATTTTGTGCTTCTGCTTTTAGAATTTTAAGTTTAGCCGGGTGTTGGTGGTGCACACCTTTGTGTGCATGTACACACACACACACACACACACACACACACACACACCATAGAAATCCAGGTGAGAAGGATTGTAGCCCAGGGCTGCCTGTTATTGTAGCTGCCCGAGCATGGCTTCCCTCTTTCTCTGGTTCCCTGGCTTCCTATGATGAAACTCACATATGCTACCCACTGTCCCTCCCCAGCCAGCATTGGAGGCTGAGAACTGGGTTCAATTTTGTATAGACCTGCATTTGGGTCCCAGCCCTGTTGATTACCAGTTCTGGGTTTTTAGCCTTTGGGTCTCAGTTTCCTTATAAAAGGGCACCTGATGATTGTCAGGAATGAATAATCAAAGGAAACAGCACAGTGCTTCACACACAGGCTGTCTCACACCAGTCTGTGTCTTGGGTTTTCCTTAGCGGGGGAAACTGCCTGATACTCAGGCTGTAGTGCAGTGAGCATATTGTCCGGGACTAAGTCTGTGGTAGTTGGTCTTTGCTATACAGATCATTTCAGGTTTATTTTGGTTCTTTAGTATGGACAAGAAGATCCTTAACTGAAGGTTATAGAGCCAAGATTGCACAACTAACAACCCAATACAGCTTTTAAGCCTTCTGGCTGGGACTGGAAAGATGGCTCAGTGGTTAATTGTTGTTTGTTTGTTTGTTTGTTTGTTTTTAAAGATTTTATTTATTTATTATGTATCAACATTCTGCTTCCATGTATATCTGCACACCAGAAGAGGGCACCAGATCTCATAACAGATGGTTGTGAGCCACCCTGTGGTTACTGGGAATTGAACTCAGGACCTCTGGAAGAGCAGTCAGTGTTCTTAACTTCTGAGCCATCTCTCCAGCCCCCCAGTGGTTAAGTGTTACATGACCACGAGAAGGGGAGTTTGGATCCCACCCAGCCACATAACAGGCCAGGTGTCCCATGCATGCAGGTAACCCCAGCTCCAAGAGGGGCAGAGACAGGAAGATCTCTGAGGCTTGTTGACTTCTAGCCTAGTCAAGATATGTAGACCCCCCCCCGTTCAGAGAGAGAGAGAGAGAGACCCTGACTCAAAGGAAGGAATAGGCAGAGAGTGACAGAGGACACCTGATATGCCATCTTCTGACTTTTGTACACATGTGTGCATACACACACACACACACACACACACACACACACACACACACACACACAGGCTGAGGAGAGCTCAGAGGCTAGGAGAATGTTCTAGTCTTCCAGAGGATCTGTGTTTGGTTTCCAGTACCCATGTCAGGTGGCTCACAACATTTCATGGCCTCTCCTGGCCTAAGCAGGCATCTGTACACATGTGCACAGACATCTCATGGCCTCTCCTGGCCTAAGCAGGCATCTGTACACATGTGCACAGACACACAGACATCCACATCATTAAAAAAACAACTCTGGCTTTGGAGAGAGATGAAAGCCTATAGGTGTTTTTGGTTTTGGCTTTGGTTTTTGTTCAATAGTCACTGACCAACCTCTCCCATGTGCTAGCCGTGGCTTGAGGCTGAAGACACAGTGGGGCAAGAGAGCAAAGGCTCTGCTGCAGTGGGCATGCAGCCAAGGGGAATGAAGAAAGTGGCAGCCATCGGGTGGCTCCAGCAGACTCTTCAGTTGTGACTTAATATCCTTTGGTCCTTTCATGAACCCACTGTCCCTCACGAGCACCTTGCCTAATGGAAGGGCTGAGGTACTACCATGCTCCCTGACCTCCTTGCATCAAACACTGTGAACAGGAACGCACCATGTCCCCAACTGCATGCTATTCCTCCACTGTAACCCAGAGAGTACCGAGTCTGCTTGGCAATTCTGGGTATAGCCGGGGCCCTGCAGGAGCCTCCCTGTCAGTGACAGCCTCGTTAGTGCCTTCCCGAGTGGTCCATTTTTAATGTTCTTTGGCAAATGCATTCCTTTTCATTCTCCCTCTCCCTCTCTCTTCATTTCCAGCTTCTTTTTTGATATTTACTTCCTCTTGGACCCCTCCACACCCTTTTATATTTTTTTCAGCGACCTTTCCCGCCCCAGCAGGCAGTGTGAGCCAGAGTGCCTTTTTTCCCCCATCCTTCCTTCTATTTAAAATTTAACAGTGTCTCCACTCCTCTCCCCCTCAGTCTGCTGCGGGCAGCTGCTGAAGGAAGCTGTGGCGGCCAAGACAAGCTTCGGGGAACTCATCCAGCCATTCTTTGAAAAGAGGATGACAGGTAGGCCACACTTTCCACTAACTGCCTCAGCCTAGTGGCTCCAGGGCAGGTGATCTGTCCACCTGTGGGCATAGGTAGGTGAAAGGGGGGACTAAGCATTTGGGGCTGCAAACGTGCTATAGTTGTGAGTAGCAGGCTTTCCTGGACCGCCAGCCCCCAAGTCATGACATGGAGATTTATTATTAATTATGAATGCCTTACGTTAGTTTAGGCTTGTTTCCAGCTAGCTATTTCCTCCTTCCTTCCTTCCTTCCCCTTCCTTCCTTTTTTTTCTGTTAATATATGCACTGCCCCAAGGCTCGTTCACCTCACCTACATACTGTCCATCCTGCTTTCCTGCTTCCTCCATGTCTGTCTGTCTGGCCGACCTTCCTTCCTTCCTTCCTCTTCCTTCCTTCCTTCCTTTTTTTCTTTTTAACTTAAATCATCCCATTTCTGTTAATATATGCACTGCCCCAAAGCTCGTTCACCTCACCTATATACTGTCCATCCTGCTTTCCTGCTTCCTCCATGTCTGTCTGTCTGGCCCCCAAGGCTGGCTAGCCAGCTTCCCTTTTCTCTCTGCCCGCCAGCCCTGCCTATCCCTCCTAGCTATTGGCCATTCAGCTTTTTATTAGACCAATCAGGTATGTTTTACAGGCAAGGTAAAACAGCAACACATCTTTACAAAGTTAAACAAATGCAGCATAAACAAAACTAACACATCTTTACAGAGTTAAACAATTATTCTGCAACACAAACAAATGAAACACATCTTTACACAGTTAAACAAATATTCTATTCCACAACAATTGTGACTTGTTTGTTTAGGGAAGGCCAAATGGCATCCACACCTGGTCCCATGCCAGGTAAGTCACACATATGGTGGCTTGCCACTGGCAGTTTAGAACATTCCATTTCTTCCTGTTAAGAAGGTTCACTTTTCAGAGATGGACCAGAGGAAGACTTGCTAGGGAAGCAGTATCAGATAGCCTTTCCAGGTCCCCTGTGTCACCTACAGTCTGAAAGCATCCTTGGATCTGACTCTCCAGAAAGGGAATCCCTGGACTGCCTTTCCAGGCCAGCTACCTGAGGCAGGGCAGCTGGGCAGTGTGAGAGCCAGTGTGCACTGTGATGCTTTCTGATCTAGTTCAGACCCCAGTACTGCCCCAACCAGCTAGTCATGTGGCCCCAAGAAACCCCCACGCGCTTCTCAAAGGTCCAAGCATCTTGGCAGTAAGATGGAGAGAGGAATCTAGTCACGATCATTGCCTGGACCATCCATCCACAGGGCCCAGGAGGTGGAGAGCAAGGGCAACTGTACTGGGATGCAGCCCAAGTTGGTAGAGTGCCTGCCAGGCATGCGTGAAGCACCACGTAAACCGGGTATGGTGAGGCACACCCGAAATCCTAGCACTTGGGGGTTGACGATTACTCTCAGCTGCATAATGAGCTTAAGGTCAGCCTGGGCTGTGTGGGACCCTGTCCCAAAAAGATAATAATAGCAACAATAACAACAACAACAACAACAACAACAACAACAACAACAACAATAAACAGTAGCAGCAAGCACAGTGGCACCTGGTGTGTGCCCACGTCCCACCCCTGCCCTACACAGTGCCAGGTTGCACACTGCGGATTAGTGCACTGAATGGATGAACAGGGTGCCAAAGCACGTAGCTGGGTGCCCTCGGCTTCTGCCCTGTGCCATGCTGTTTGCGACTATGTGAAGCACTAGTTCCCCACCAGCAAGCATGTAGGAATCACAGATAAAGACAGTGGCTAAGCCAAGGGGCAGAGCAAAACGTCATGGATTTCCCAAGGGATGCACAGGAACCCTCCACCACTTCCTGTGATGTTCACATGTTACCCCCCCCCCATGAAATTACAAAAAAGTAAGCATTTGAGTAGTTTCCAAGTTTGTATCCCTTGGGCTATTTTATGAAGTGTGTTTTCTCCTGTATATAAGGATGACAGTATGCCCAATCATCTATTGAGGGATTGGATCAAGAGTCATGCCCATTAGGAATGGCGTATGGAATGCTGTCCCTGTGTGCACACCTATGTCACTGTGTGTGCCTGCTTCCTCCATCTCTTTGCCACCTCTGGTTGTCCCCGGCATGTTTGTCTGCTGTTGCTGATGGAACACACCTCGTGGTTAAGACAATACAAGTTTATTTTATTATGGAGGCTGGAAATCCCGAACCAAAGTGTTGTCCAGGCCCTGGGCACGACTTAACACCTTCCTTTTTCTCCCTGCTCCTAGAGGCTTCCTGTATCCCTTGCTGCTAGGCCCACCTCCCTTTTTGAAGTCAAGCAGTGTAGCATATCTGTGTCCCACTCTGTCACTCTATCTCTGTCTCTCTCTCTTGTGCTTCTCTATGTAGGCCTCGTCAATATGTAGACCAGGTTGGCTTGAACTCACACAGCTCTGCCTGCTTCTACCTACTGAATGCTGGTATGAAAGATGTGCACCATACCCGGCTGCTCTTGACTTCTCATTCCAAGGACTGAAATAATGACTCACAGGGATGTGCAAAAGTAGAAAGGAACCCTCACTGAGAAGCAAAGCAATAGTGTTGATCAGAAGCACCTGTCAACTGTCAGTGGCCCAGGCGTGGCTATCCTTGAGGGCTTTCTTTTTATAGAGTTTCAGAGAAGGAAAAGTTTGGCTGCAAGGAGCATAGTGAAGACTGGTCTCTGTTTTGGTGAATAGATCTAGATTGTGTAAACCTTCCTTCCCACAATGCATCTGGTTTTAACCACATTCACTTAGGAACAGGCATAGATGCTAGAGAACATGCCCTAAAAATGTCCTTCAAGGATACAGTTTTTATTACTGCACATACACCTAAAACCAATCTAATCTGTCCCAACCCACAGCCTGTGGTTGTTGGGTTGTGTCCAGGATTGAGTGGAAATGGGGTTTCATCCAGGGACCCACTGAGGGGCGTGTTCTGGTTAGTTTCTGTCAACCTAGCCCAAACCTAGACATACCTGGGAAGACAGAACCTTAATTGAGAAATTGCTTCCATCAGATTTGTCTGAGGCCATGTCTGTGGGCTCTTTCTTGATTGTTGATTGATGTGGGAGCCCACTGTGGGTGGTGCCATTCCCAGGAAGACAGGTCTGGTCTATAGAAGAAGGTAGTTGAGCAAGCCATGGAGAGCAAGCCAGTAAGCAGGATTTCTCAGTAACCTCTGCTTCAGTTTCTACCTCCATGGTTTCTCTCTGCCCTGGCTGCCCTCTATGTTGGGTCGTAACCTATATGCCAAATAAACCTTTCCTCCCCAAGCTTCTTTGGGTCATAGTGTTTATCAAAGCAATTGAAACCAAACTAAGATGGGGGAGCAACTTGTTATCATCATCTAAAGAAGGCTTGGGTGCAGCTCGATGTGGGTGTGAGTTCTTAAGCCACTTCACAGGTTGCTGAATACATCGTTTGGGGAGGGGCAGGTGCATGGTCCAAGCCAAGCGGATGCCGAGGTTGCCAAACTGTTTCTTATGCTGGCTGCCTCAAGGATATAGATGTCCACTGGAGGAATGTTATTCTGCCTACCAGAAAAATAAGCTTTGCCCATATGTCTTTAATTGTGACCACCTTTTGATTACAAGTGAGGGTTGGTAAGGTTGACTATAATTTGATAAGATAATTTTATATGCTTTTCTCATTGGGTGTGGATGCCAGGTTTTTGTTTTTTGTTTTTTTGTTTTTTTTGTTTTTTGTTTTTTGTTTTTTTAACCTAAATCATAGCTAAGGTGTAAATGGGAGCAATGGGGAGCCTCTTCCTCTCAGGAGATCTGGCCCATTACTGTATACAGTGGCTCCTTCAGCCTCCACCCAGACAAACTGAGGAGGCCCTTCTGAGGCCCAGCTGACAGGCGTGGCTTTCATCATGGTCTGGGGTCTTGTGTATATGGAGACAGGTGTGTGTTTCTCTGGACGGCTCCCTCATTGGTGTTTTGTGATGTTTTATTCCTCCATAGCTTTGTTTGTTTAGGCAATATACCACTAGCTGTTCACGCTTCCTACAAATTAATGACACAACAACCACCACCATCAGACCTTCCCAACAGAAGCAATATGTTTTACTGTCTTGTCTCACAGCATAGCAAGAAGTGTATTTACATAACATCACCACTCAGGGCCTCATTAGTGGGCTTCGGAGAAGCTGCCAGGCCAGTCAGAGTGCTGGCCTTGAAGAGGGCACACGTGCACTGCTCAAGCTGGAGGGGCCACTTCCCAAAATCTGGGGCGGGAAGGGCTCTAGCAGTTCTCCACAGCTGAGTTTTGAGAGGAAGCTGGGATGGAACAGGGGACTGCCAGACCACCCAAGCCATGCCTACTTCTGGGAGGAGGCTGTCTGAGAGTCAGTGACATCGGTGATTCAAGGGTGCCCTAGCCCACAGGTATGTTAATGTTCAGGTTTGAGAAATGTTCCTGAATCTTGACCCTGTCATGGTTAGTGTTACCTGTCAACTTACATGATCTGGCATTACCTAGGAGACAAGCCTGGAGGCACACCTATGCAGGGTTGTCTTAATTATGGTAACTAATGCAGGAAAACCCATCTTACCTGTGAGCGGGAACATTCCCTGGCTGGAATCCTGGACTGTGTAAGTGGAGAAAGGGAGCTGCGTGGCAGCCTGCATCGTTCTCTGCTTCCTGACCATGCTGTGTCTTAAAATCAGGGTCACTATTGCTGTGATGAAACACCATGACCAAAGCAACTTGAAGAGGAAAGGGTTTATTTGGCTTATACTTCCACATCACTGTTCATCATCAAAGGAAGACAGGACAGGAACTCAAGCAGGGCAGAAACCCAGAGGCAGGAGCCAAGGCAGAGGCCATGGAGGGGTGCTGCTTAGTGTCTTGCTCCTCATGGCTTATGAAGTCTGCTTTCTTATAGAACCCAGGACCACCAGCCCAGGAATGGCACCACCCACAAGGGCTGGGCCCTCCCCATCAATCACTAATTGAGAAAATGCTCTACAGGCAGATCTTACAGAGGCATTTTCTC